AAAAAAAACAGTTTTGTTGATTAAAAAACACTATATCGGATTCATATCGGTATCGGCAGATATCCAAATTTATGATATCGGTATCGGTATCGGACATAAAAAAGTGGTATCGTGCCAACTCTACTTTGTTGTCTGGGTCAACTTTGCTAGTGAGAGACAGAGAGAGGCGTTGAAAGGGTGCTCCAGTGGGACTTATTGTTTCGGAGGAAAACATGAACACAGTGTACAGTCGAGTCTTAATAGCTTACTTACAACTGGGCTCGTCAGGCACTCTTCTTGGCTGCAGTGGTTATTATTATATTTACATGCTTCCATCTCCCTTTTCTGCTCGATGACAACTCATACTTTTCCACTTTCCTTTTTCTCCCTCTCTCGCTCACAGACACATAATAACGGGTATGGCAGTCCATTCTCCCTGCAGCACGGACTACACTGCCCATGAGGCTACATTCTTTAGGGCTGTAACACTCTACTTATTGCGTTCATATTAAATAACTTTTGTGAATAATTTTTTTAAATATTGCTTCACGTCATTATGCGGGCCGCAAGTAGAGGTGACATGGGCCGCGAGATTGAGACACAGGCATTAGAGCCTCTGTGTGTTTTGTTTGGGTTTCCACCGGCGTGGAAACCAAAAATAGACAGGACATAGCCTTTGAAACAAGGAAATACCGCTGAGTAATCCATTCATTTCAACAAAGTAACTATATTCTGAATACCACCTTTTTAAACGGTAACTGTAACGGAATACAGTTACTCATATTTTGTATTTTAAATATGTAACAGCGGTACATGTATTCTGTTACTCCCCAACACTGTTTCCCATTTTATATTTATATACTAGCAAATACAGCTAACAAATGATCCCTGGTTAGCTTATCACATAGCACATTCCCAAAGACGTTTACTGGAGCTCACAGTATATTTGGGAGGTTTGGTGAGTCATTTTTTCCTGCTGTACCAGATCTGAAGTTTCACTTACTTGCCAAGTCACAATTCACAACCTGACCACACCCGTAAACAAATCTGTATTCGTGAATGCCGCTGGGAAGTCATCCTGTAGTTTCACTGGGAAGTGTAAATCCATTTCACATGACTTCACCTTGTTTTTGCAGTAGCTACAGGGATGCCACTGGGATTTTAGTTGGACTTCTGATTTTGAACTTTATTTGTGCTTAAAACTTTGTATTAAAAATGTCCCTCATGTTTTTATATATAGTAGTAACCAGAGATGGGTAATCTGTTTACTTTTTTCAAGTAACGACTAAAGTAAGGGATTACTATTGCAAAAACGGTAATTAGATTACTGTTACTTTCCCGTAGTAACGCTGCGTTACTGCGTTACTAAAACCGTGATTTTTTGCCAGAATGTCTCACGACAGTGACGTAAGCGAGTGCGCCGTTAGTGACAACAGCTGTGTGCAGAGCAACAATGGATAATATATCGATTGTGGGAGAGAGTATGAGCGTGCAGCGTTTAAAGCGTGGAAGTACTGACCTTACTTTGAGTTTGATTCCATAAAAAGTGACAAAAACATTAGTGTCCATCGTGCGTGGGAAGAAAACTTCTTTTTACAGCGAAAAAAAACCCCTAAACTTCCAAGCAAGCACCGAGTGTGCAACGACGCAATGGGAAATTCACAGAGAAACTCGCAGATTCTTCCACTGACCGCTGCGGCACACCTGCACCAGGGTAAACCTCCGCCTACCCTAGTCCTGCTTTACTGGTGAAAATAGAGCAACAGGACCGCTGAGTCTTTGACTTTATTTATTTTCTGCTGTGTTTTACTTGCATCTATTTGAAAGAGTGAGTGTAAACACAAAAAATATTTTATTTTATGTGCTGGAATGTGTAGAAAATAGGTTTATATGTTAAACTAATTTATTCAACTCAGAGAATGTTGCATATAATTAAATTTTTGCTTGATGCATAAAGTTAAAAGATTAAAACTGATAAAACAAGTTAAAAAAAGAGACTTTTCCATTTGATTACATTTTGTATGATGGATTATGTAGAAAAAGTCGAATTGGGCTGAAAGATCTATCGCTTTATCACCTCTTCAGGTTGTAAATCGTGTTTTTAAAAAGTAACTAAGTAACTAAGTAACTAAGTAATTAATTACTTTTGAAAATAAGTAATCAGTAAAGTAACGGGATTACTTTTTTGGGGAAGTAATCAGTAATTAGTTACTGATTACTTTTTTTTTCAAGTAACTTGACCAACACTGGTAGTAACAGCAGATGGGTTTGAATATATCTTGTGCGGTTTATATTTATACTAGATACTATTTATCTTTCATAACTGCATATTATAATCTCATAGCTCTCTACCTTTTTTTTTATTATATCTACATCTTTTATATTTATTTTAATTGCACATCATGGCTCGTTTCAATCCTGTTTATGCCCTGTGCATATTGCAGAACTGACAATGAAGTTGACTTGAACTTTGATTTGTTTTTCTTGAGAGGTTTGCAGTTCTTCCCCCTATTTTGTCCAGCCAAAGCCTGCATGTCTCATATTGCTACAACAAAAATGGTATTTTGGCCACAGAATAACAGAAGATACCAAGTGCAGTAATAGCTAAATGTAACATCTTTATTGTAATATAAATATAAACTTAAAATACATTGAGTTGGTGCTTTAGTGTAAATGTTAAGTGTTTGTTTTTTTGGAACAGGCAAAACGCATGACCTTAAAAAGCCACACAGGCTCTTTTTCTTGGCCTGATACCCAGTGGTATGCTCATGATACCAAAATGCTTGCAACGCCACTGACTCACACCTCCACTCCCACAACGTCTGCGTTGAATAACCACAATAGAAAGACAAGAAGGATGCCATCTCCTTGGTGATGTTGGAGCTGGCTCGGTTGCATCTATTTGATTACTTTCATTCTGTTCTTTCCTGTCTTCATTATTCATGGTAGGCAAGGCATTTGCATTGATACCATGAAATATGGATGCTCTGTGGAAGGAAAAGAGAGACAACCGACCTTTCACTGCCACATGAGAATGGATAAAAAAAGAACTTAATAAAGGCTGTTTCAAATACTGAGTTAAAAGAGAAATAGTCCCTGTCTTTTTTGTCAGCCAGATTTTTTGTGTTGTTTTTTTTTTTTCTCCATTCGCATCTGCCATCTGAATTCAAATCATTGCACGGTACTAAGAGGAAATATGTCAGAGGAATGTGAAACAGTTAAGCTGTGAAAAAAATGGAGAAAACAGTAAAACTGTTTGGTGTGTGTGTTTCTGAGAGATGGAGAAATAAGAGAAAGGCAGGGAAGTTTGCTAGGAAGAAGGTGGGGATTGGTTTCACCTGCACTACAGTGTTTAGATAAGCTCCAGCAGCAGGGAGCTGAGGAATCAGCAGAAATTAAACAGGATGCAGGTTCAACTCAGCACTTCAAAGAGAACTTAAGAGTTCAAGAAACTTAAAATCTTTGATTCACTGCAGCAATACACACTGTATAATTTAGCATAAGGCGAATTTCATGAGCGTTCCTGACTCTTAGTACATCCTGCCATATCATACTGTTTGCCAGAGTCCTGCTGAGAAGAGAAGAGAAGAGGAGAGAAGAGAAGAGAAGAGAAGAGAAGAGGAGAGAAGAGAAGAGAAGAGAAGACTGCACTTATTTAGTTGAGAAACTATTATTCATCCTGTAATTTTACAGTGATTGTGAAAATATAAGACTGGCAAATATCTCTCCGAATCCAAGAACATTTAAGTTCATGTCAACAACAACAACAACAACACATTTGCAGGATTGTGAGCTCCATGTGAACTGCAACTGGAATAAACTATGCTTGAAGGTAAAAATGGACTAAACAAATGCTGCTGATACTGTGAACATGAGAAAGGATTGAACTTTACTTATCACAATCTTAAAATCGTTAAATAGATTTACTCCTGTTCATTTGTCACCTGGGAATTTGCCTTTATTGCAGTACTGAAATAAAGGATTTCTAGCCTCATGAAAACCAAATATTATACACAGAGACACAGCCTACATTGTACCTTAATTTTACTTACCTGTTTGGTTGACCCAACTGCAACTGTTTTGCTACACTTCAGTCATTTATTTTCTTTTAAGTAGCCCATCTGTTTGTTCTCTTCATGCACTCAAAATAAGCTTCAGATGACGGGGGGAAAAAAAGCTCTGACAGGTACTGCATAATAATATGTTACAAGTGTGTACTGTTTGAGAATATTCTTAATAAACAAGCTAAATGATTCAGCTCTGTCTGCGTCACTGAGTGACTCATAAAGAATTGTCACTTCATGTCTGCAGTTAGTCTGGAGCACCTGTGGCTCACAGTATCTGTGTTTAAAGAGCAGCCTGAGGTAGGAAAAGCAAAGAAGGAAGCCACACGTGAAAACACAAAGGATAACAACTGTTTTGTGCAAAGCTGGAATCACATGCATGGATTTAAAAGCAGCTTTTCTAAAGGAAAGCTTAGACAATGATAAGAAAGAAAGTCACATACAACTAACAAGTATTCCGATTCCTGTCTTGTAGAAAGGTTTAAATGCTTACTCTACAGTACCTGGCAACATTATAAAAACCTGAGACATGTTGTCATTTACTCAGATTATGGGCTTTCTGCTAAACTACAGAGCACAGTGTTTCTGTTTCAGTAAGTGGTCTACAGAAAATCAATCATGTAGGTGTTTGAAATGCTTAGTGGGTTATTAAATCTTTGCCATGTTATAGAAAGGTCCTGTCTGAACTTGTAGTTTAAGCCACTGGTGGCATTTTGCATGACATTTTAGTTCATTAAAAATATTTTTGTTATTAGCACTAGTCACTTTTGAAGTGTTTCAGTTGCCTTTTGCACAAAGTTCAAGGTTTCATTTCCTCTGCCCACACTGTTTTAGAAGAAAATCCAGCTTCTGCTGAACTCCCAGTACAGGTTTGGGCAGTTCTCTTATTTACCTTTTCTCTAACCACGCCTCTATTCTCTGCCCACTTCCTGATCACCTTTGCCTGTTTAGAGGTGAGCAGGTTCTGGGCTCACACAGGAGAAATCCTCTCCGCTTTGGACTCATTCCGTATTTTATAAAGTCCAGCAGCAGGATAAAATTTCTCTCTTTCTACATGAAGACTGTCAGCCGGTCTCCGGTTTGCTTGAGTTGGACAAAGTCCTCTTTACGGAGTCATTTAACTCTCCTGTCCTTCCCCTCCACCTCCTCTCTGAATGGTTTAAAGTTACACTGCCTGCCAGACTTTACCTGTTCAGGTGAACTGCACTGCCGAAAGTGAATGTTGCTAATGAAGCCATGTAAGTATAGTTTCCTATTTTACATTTTATTAGAAGCATGTCTGTTATTTATCTTAAATGCTTCACTAAGTTACACAAAACGTCATGCCAGCAGTTATTGCTGCTCCGGCGTTTGCATGGAAAGAATTTGCATTAAATTTGTATTTTATATGTGAGTGTAGAGTATGTCGATTTTCTCTTACCTATGTGCACTGGTGTTAAGTATAGTCTGTGCTGACCCACTCAGCCATTCAGATACAAGTGACGCTTCATGGGGTTTCACATCTGGCTTCAGCTGTTTTCCCAGATTGAGGTGTCAGGTCTGGCTCAGACTCAACGTTCAGATTGCTATGAACTCAGAGAGAGGCCAGAATACACAAACATACCCACGAGCCTAATGCAGAGATTAGTAAAAGGGCAGAAATTATACTAATATTTGATTTGCACATCCCCTGTTTATTCTAAAAGGAACAAAATGCGCTGAAGAAATCAAAAATATTATGCTGTGTTACATTTGGTGTACAGTTCAATGATAGATAGATAGATAGATAGATAGATAGATAGATAGATAGATAGATAGATAGATAGATAGATAGATGGCTGATTGTTGCTGTTTTTCCAATGTTTATCGCTGTGTGATTGCAAAACAGATGTTTGTATGAAAAGAAAAAATGGCTTGTTGGAATTTTTCTGTCTCATGGACATGTCTGAACACAACTGCCTATGCTCTACAACACGTAACTTTTGTGCCTGAGTCCAGCCTGCCTTGTGCTATGTTACGCTTAGAGTCCTTGATTATTGACCTGTCAGCAGGTTATCTGGTACTATTTAAATATTTTTATGATATGATGACTAACCCATTTGTCAATGAGGAACTTATTGTTTCCACTCTCTAAGTGAGATTTCTCCTAACACGAGTCACAGATCAGTTTATTATCTTCACGGTCTTTAAGCTACACCTGTAACAGGTGTCTTCCTTGTCAATTACAGTAACACGGTGCTTTGATTTGACAGAGAAATCATTATGTTGCAGCATGAACTTGCTTTGCAGACACTCATACTTTGTCTGATTTGTCAGGCTTTGACTTTTACGCTGAGGGTGTGTTTTGTTTGGTCGATACAAATATGGTTTGATGTCTGTGACTAGAAATGAGGAGTGGATTTGTACATAGCAACAAGCTAGCTCAGTGTGGACAATGAGAATGCTGATACAGAAATTACCTTATTAATGGCTTATTCTTCACAATCGTTTGTTAAGAAAAGAAGCTGACTTGGCATGGCCGTGTCTCTTTATTAACTCATCAAGTTATTTCAGATCACAGGAGAGAAACCTGAGAGTGAATAAACAATGGTAGTTAAAGACAATGTGCAAACTGTATGAAAGAAGGCTCACGCTATGCTAAATAAACACCTCTCTTTGCACTCAGTTGCATAAGGCCTAGACAGCCAACAACTGGCATAACTATAGTTCAAAGATGAAAATAAAGACTACCCTGAGTGTTGTATTTACCATGTAAACATCTTTTTTACTTTGTAGTCCAAACTGAAAGCCTTGAGCCTGACAGCCCCACCTTTCTCATTCTCTTTGGATACTAGATGGCCGGTGTAGTCAATAATTAAACGTCAACAATATGTAGTCAAGGTTCAGTCAATTAGCTGTCGTGAATGATTTTGTTGTGAGGAAAGAGCAGCAGTCCCACAGGACTGTTGTGACAAAGTGAACTTATCACTTCAGAGATTAGGAATGATCCAGTATGAGCCAATGCTCCTCAGGCACGGGTGTGTCCACTGAATATGCCTGCATGGAAAAAAAAAAGGTGTGCAAAAGCATGAAATGTCTGCATGTAGATACATGTAGCAGCACTGGGAATATCCCTGCTATTGTGCCATGTTGTATAGATGTTATTTATGCATGTCAGGCTCAACTTCTCCACTGTAAAATTCTTGAGAAAAAAGAACTACACCCAATGGAAGACATCATCGATCTGTTGGAATAACCGAACATAAGATTATCTTTGATTGTAAGTTAGAAGAAATGCAATGATCCCTGTGAGAAATTGTTTTTAAAAGTTCGAAAAATTTGCAGCACAATGACAAACAGCACAAACAGGAATTATATATCTTGATTGATGGTGTCTCTTTGGTCCTGTCTCCCTCCCCTCACCCCCACCCGGTCACGGGAGATGGCTGCCCCTCCCTGAGCCTGTTGCTTCTGGAGATTTCTTTCTGTTAAAATGTAATTTTTCCTTCCCACTCTCACCGCATGTTTGATCATAGGTGGTCATCTGATTGTCTGTGTTTTTGTCACTATTACTGTAGTATTTTTACTTTACAATGTAAAGTTCCTTAAGGCAGCTGTTGTGATTTGACTTGACTGAACAGAACCGATTTCCAGAGAAAGGTAGGGCCTCCCATCTTTGGGTGAAAGTTGTCTTTCCTCTCTCTGGAATATCTTGCGTTTGTTGGAAGATGTTCTTATGCGCAGGACTGAGCCAAGTCAAGATCATGCCAAGATCAGTGACGCATTTGACACAAAAGGAAGTCCTTCCTGAGAACCACCAGAGTTGTCCCAGGAGCCGCAGGTAGCTCCTAGTGCTACCTGTTTCTCATGTGGCCCCTTGTGCAATTAAGTTTCCCAGGGGGCCACATGAGAAACTTGGCCTGTTGTTAAGGGCTGCATCAATGGGCTTAACTCATTTCTACTCAATATCAATTTTAGCTCTTGATAAATTTCTTCTGGACATTACAATTTGTGAAATTTTAAACACTTTTTATATTTTATACAAAGTGACAAAGAGCATGTATTGATTTCTTTGGTCAATAATTTAAGTTCAATAATTTAATCCCAGTTGTAATAGACCGTGTAGCCTCTTAGATTCACATTAAGGAGAAGATAGGATACAAACGGACATAGATACATAATTACATTTTAAGTTTATTAATGGGTCAATATTGGCTTCTAAAGCCAAAAAACTACATTTCCTTGTGGTATCATTTGAGATTCTCAGTTTCAGCACTTCAACGAGGCTGAAATATTCGTTTGTTAGTATGTATAAGAAAAAAACCCATCAATGTTCATTTGATGAGCCAGAAGTTGGAGCTCTTCTTCTTGTTTGGAATGTTATAAAATCATTATACGCGAGCTCTGTAGTGGTCTAACATATTAGAATTTTCTTTTTGATCCAGCACCCCCCGTGCTACCGAACTCTAGGGTGTGCATGCCAGATTTCATTTTTATTTCTCTGTGCTCTTGCTTTTTCACATCACTGTTTAATACTATTGTTAGTTTGAATCGTTTTTTAACAGCTTTGCGTCAAGTGCGAGAAGAGAACAGACGTAAGCTAAAGAGAATATTAGACAAGCTTTATTTTTTATTTACTTTGACTATGAATCACCATTTTCTTGTTCTCATCACCTACTGACAGGTACTTGGTCTCTTTCCCTCCCCTTTTCTGTCTGTAGCTTTTCCTGTGTAGTGATGAAAGTGCTCTGCTTCATAGACAAAGTCAGACGTTGCCACAGTGTGTGATGAATCAGCTGTGCCACCACAAGTTCTCAGAGGGAAAGTTCATCTTTGTTAAGACTGTTAAGCCTCTACTTATTAGCCTTCCGCTACCCGGCATACCAAAAGACTGTAAGCTTGTGGCTCTCACAACTTGCCACCCAACAATTTCATACTGTAAAAAGAAATTATATTGATTAATTCTGCAGCTTGGTGGTTAATCTGGACATTTGCATGTATTCACAAAGAGGTAGGACAGATTTGTATGTATTACCATATTGGAATCCACATCAAAGTCTATTGTTAGTTATAATTTTTTAGAAATAAATTATTTAGCAGAAGAGCATGGGAATCTGTCCAATTAAAACAGAACTAGGGCTTGGATTACATAAATATTTTGTAGGCTCCAAACACAAGTTTTGTTGTTGTTGTTTTGTTTTTCTAACTTGATCTAGTGTCTCATTAAGCAGCCAACACCCAGCAGTGGGTCCAGAAACAAAGCATGTGGAGAGTCAACAAGATGGCTTATGCCAAGGTGACGTGTGCCTCACTGAGCCCATCTGTTTGTGTCCATGTGCCCAAATAGCATGCCTGTTTTGGGTTTTGGATATGACGCGTTCATTGGCACACTCACAATGTAAACCTGTGTATCAGTAAAGAAAAAAAAAAGACTTGGCACGTCTAAAATCATGTCACATTGCTGTGGATTAACAGTGATGTATGTTTGTCAGGCTGTACACTGAGCAGGAGGCTGAAGACTTATCTGATTCTATCTGTCTCTGCACTTTCTGCTGACATGAGTAGTATTGATGTTGCTGCATCCACAGAAGAAATCTCACTTGTTCGATCTCTCTTCTCTGTGTCAGTGCAGAAAATCAAACTGAGGAGAAAAGACAGGTTTGGAGGACTGCTGCACACAACATGTTCTGTAGTTGTGTTTGAAAAATATAAAAATAAAAGTGTCCCTGCTCGGCTCCTCCAAGATATCATGAGTATTTTCATAGCAAAAAAAGGATGAGCAAATCGCCCTTTTAGATATATGTCACTCTTTGGACCCAAATAGTGACCCTGAAATTTATAGTACTTCAAAGTGATTTAATTTTGAGCAACTAAAACAGGTAAATGTGGCTTATATAGTGATGCATCAGTATTACTCATGAAGCAGTTTCATATAATTGCAGTCATTTAATTCAGTTCAGTTGTATTTATATAGTGCCAAATCACAACAACAGTTACTTGTTGTTAGGTAAATAATCTACAGAAATGTGAAAATACCCTACAAGCATTGCTGGTAACACTGTTGCACTTGATTTTTGAATACAGACTATATTTTTTTTTACATTTTTGTCTGTTTGCATTATATTTATCTTCCCCACAGCTCTCCTTTGCTAATGACCTCCTTACCAGCTCTAACATGGCATCCCAAGTGTTCTCCAAATGAGTATCCAGGAGCAGAGTACATACCCTGAAGTTGCCACGGCAATGGCTGAAGCATCAGCTCCACCTCTTTCCCCTTCAGACTATGGATCATTGTCTCCGACTCCTGAACTGTGCGCATCATGTGGCCACAGTCATCAGTTGGAAGAGAACCATGAGTACCTTTACGAGGATGAAGTGGACGATGACCTCATCTGTCACATCTGTCTGCAGCCACTCATCAAGCCTCTGGACACGCCCTGCGGACATACTTATTGCCAAGAGTGTCTCACCAGCTTCCTGCTGGAGAGTGACTTCTGTCCTGTGTGCCGTGAACCCCTCATGCTGCAGACCTGCAGGAAGCCCAGCCTTCTGGTCCACAAGCTGCTGGAGAAGCTGTCCGTGGCTTGTCCCTTCACTGACCATTGCACTGAAACAATGCCCCGTGGTCAACTGGAAGACCACATCAAGTTCAGGTAGGCTGGTAGAAACAGTTTGCACCATTAAATTCCCTGTTTAAAAATGATATTATTAGTATTGCTATTAAAGTAAGCAAGTACTTTAGCTCCTGGTTTTTCCTTTCTTCTATTTGGTTTTGATGTGTCTACTAAACTCTACAATGACCTGAAGTAAGTACACACTCCAAGTCTCCCGCCCTCCTCCTCCTCCCGTCGTCATTAGCCCACAGCTCCAGTCCCAAAGGCTAGAGTTCTTCCAACGAGACTTCCATCTAAACTAGGCCCAGATCCACTGTTTATAAAAGAAAGCACTTCCTTTTTTCTCAGTCTGGGTCTGTTTTCATTAATGCTCATTAACACTTCCTTAGCCCAAAGGCCGCTGGGATAATTAGTGAATCTTGCCCCACACCACACATAAGCACCAGGAGTATTTCCTATTCATTTGCACTTAAAACTTAGAAAAATCAAATTGCCTAAAACTCCTTAAACTCTAAAAATTTTGTCCCTCCCTGAATCTTATTTCCCATTTCCAAAACATAGACTCGTTTCATCTGTTTATGCTCTTTTTATACCTTCTTTTCTTGCTCATCTTTTCGCCTGTCATTTCTTCCCTAGTCTTTTCCTTCATGTAATGTGAATGTTATAATGAGGTGTGGCTCTCTGAGGCCAGTTCCCAGAAGGATTCAGCTGTAGAGGTGAGAGACTGCTTTCAGAAAGATGACTCTACACACTGTTTGCAGGAATGTAGAATAGTTTCAGTGAAATGCCGATTTAAACATTTCCATCAGGGTCCAGTGGGTACATGGCGTCTTTGAGTTTTTATTGAAAGATGTTGGTTAATATTCTCTATATATTGAATCTATCAAGTATATTTAAATTCTAAACTATAGGAAACTAGTAGTCTTGGGTCGGGATTATACTTTTCATCTCCGTAAGTCTGTAAGGACCCAGGTGCACCACTCAAAGACAGAGATAATTTATGAGTCCTTACTAAGACACAGGGTGCATGAGACAAACAGAGTCCAAAAAAACCAAAAACCACACATAGTTCAGGAGATCGACAATGCCTCGGGGCAAAACTCAGGGGTTTTTTCTAGCGGTGGAGACAAAGAGGATCTGGAGGTCAACCGCGATGCTGAAGACGAAGACGGAGCAGACCCTGAGACCGGGTTATCCACAGGCTCTGAACCCCTAGACATGTTATTTTCACAACTGGTGGGCACAGAATCAAAATTAACTGATTTATTACTTGCCAGCTCAGAAACAGAGGACTTTGAACAGAGAGTTCATTATTAGTCAGTTCAGGAGCAATAAACTCATATTTGATAGCGACTGGCTTAGATATACACAAGAAACTAAACAAACTGAATTAACAGTCTTTTGATTTAGCCTGTTTTGTTGCACACTGATCAGTCTTAGGTCCCGTTGTATTGAAAACAGTCTTGTTTCACTGGCTTTATTTGATCCAGACAGAGAAAGTCAGTTTCAATCACCCTCATGTAGTAAGTCCAGTAACCAAGGAATGGTGGATACCAGTCTTTGTAGCCTATAACTAACTGCTCCCTGATATCCTTACACCTTAAAATCATGCCCTCCTTCAACTCATCTAAGGGGTTGAGAGCTACTGGGTCCATAATGGCCGTGTCATTTTGTCACAATTCAGCCTTGTGGCAGGTTCGGCAGGTGCAGCACTTGGAAACAATGAGAATTAACTAAACTCACAACAAGAAACTAGGTGCTAGGAACAGGAAACTAGGAAACTACTAAGGAACCATAGACCTCACTGAAAAAAACAAAACCACACTCCAAGGGAGACTGAGGACATAAATACACAAGGGATAACGAGGGAACAGACCACAGGTAGGAACACAGCTGAAACTAATCTGACTGACGAGGCAGAACACAACACACACAGGATGAGAGACTATCAAAATAAGACAGGAAGTAACAAACACTGAGATTCATGGGCTAGACACTGGGACAGGGGAGAAACAGACATGGACATCAGAATAGGAAAGACATGAACTGACCAGAAATCAAGAATTACAAATACAAGCTCAGAGGCACAGGAAAGAGACATGTTCAGAAACTAGATAACCCAAAACGTATGATAACCTGGAAAACCCAACGTCATTCCTTCAAACTTTTGAAAATAAGTCCAGAACGGAAACTCAAAACCCTGGGTCACATGACACATGTCATCTTTAGACAGTGACTGCGAGCATCTGTGCAAATGTCTATGAGCCTGCTTGTTTTTTATGAACTTGCACTTACATGTGTACAATGTATAAAGTACACAAGCGCTCCGGGCAGCAGATTTAAAGAAGTTTAACAGAAACTATCTCCAGCTGTCTGTTTCCATGTCCGCAAGCAAGTATAATCAACGCCTTCGTGTAATTTTAACAGGACAAAAGTGACACAGGAGGAAATTATATACAAATACTGTAAGTTCTTTTCACCAACTCACTCAGCGGTGAGTTGGAGAGGAGTTCCAAACAGTGAATTTCATCATTTTATCATTTCATTTGCAAAGATATATTTTCTTGCCTGTCAAGCTGTTCCTGTGCATTCCATGTGTAAGCACCTTTATTAATTTTGCTCCCACTCTTCATTTATATCCTTTTGTCCTTCAGATGGTTAAATAGCTAATGTGAGAATAGCACTTTAAAATGTGAGAGTAAATCCACGTTGTTTTGCATGGGTTAGAAACCTAAAAATGCTTTCTGCTGTAGAATCAGTGCCATGGCAGTTTGTTTTATGGCCCTCCAAGTATATAGCAATAAGACAAAACTTAACTATGCTTTAGGATTGGAACAAATTTCCTAAAATTTTATAAAAACTCAAAATGGAATTTGGGGAAATTAAGCCAGTCAAGATGTGCTTTCAGTACCCATTTCATGTGTGTAACGCTGCTCCTCCCTCTGCCTGTATTTTATGTTCTAATGATGGGTGGACTGTTTCTGGCTGTTGCTACCCCAAAATCTGGCAATGTGTCAGGAGTTCTAATGACTTAGACAGCCATGCCATCTGTTCAGAGCTGATTTCATACTAATCTAATCATTTGTGACCTTTATTGGCCTTTGGATAGAGAAAATGCCATCCTGGACACATCTCTGCAATCAAGAATAACATCTCAACTATGTAATCTTCAGTATCTTTTCAGTTTTCTATTACTTTTCCCTGTATGGATATATAGGATATGGCAAAAAAAAAATAGCCTCCTTATGTGATCCCCCAGGTATTTTCTTTTCTTTCTTTTCATTCGCTAGTTTCATGTAGCTATGTGTCTATCTATAATGCACAAAATCTTTTTTTTTCTGCTTTGAAGGTCTCTCATTCTCATGTTTTTCATATTAGCCAATTTACCCAGAGTTCTGTTTTGATGATATTTTGCCTTGAGCATGACAGCATTTTGTTCGTCTCCTTTTTCCTTTTATGAAAACTACCTTGTTTTTCAAGTATGCCTCCAATGCCCACTGAGGAGTAGTTCAAAGCTTATGTAAATACATGTGATGCATGCAGACATTTTCTATTTTATTCTGTGCTTATTTTATTTTATTTCATTTCATTCTGTACTGTTCTGTTTATGGTTTTGGTGAACATGTTCGAATTAGTGTTTCACTAGATAGACACTCATAGAGGGAGAAAAGCCACCCAGTGAGGGAAGCGGAAAAGTGTTTTACCTGTCTATGTAATTCTTATAGCAGATTTATAGTTATTTACATATACCTATTTGATATTAGATGACATAACACACTCTGCAGAGAAGGGTGTTATAGGTAACCTTAATATCTGAGACATATGAAATAATGTCTCTGATTCTGATTCTTTGTTTAATACATTAGTGGTTCTTATCTGGATTGATGTGTTATTATTGGGTTTTGGTCTCTGTTTCAAAAGGGCACTAAGCCCCTAATTGCAGAGTGAATGGTTCAGTCTTTGACACCTCCATGGGACAGGTGTCTTAGTGGAGGTGCCCAAGCTGCTACCAATGGCAGACAAGAGTTTTTAATGTGTCTGGTTGAGTGGATGAATTAGAAAGTACTTTGTAAAACTGCTAAGATTAAAAAAAGAAACTGACTTATTTGGAAACCTAACTAAATAACCAAGCAACCACAGTCTTTATTGCATAGATTTTTTAATTCAATTGCTTCACCATCTGCAGAGAGTGAACCACTGAAGGAGCTAGATAAATGTACTTTTTCAGGACACGGTTTCTTGTTAGTACTACCATAGTAGCAGAGAGAAGAAATACATAAAGTGTTACTGCATAATTTATTTTTAAAAAAGAGCTCTAGGAAAAGAGAGTAGGCACTTCTACTGTATTGCAAGCTCCTGCAATAGAGAATATCACGAAGCTGGGAAAAAGATGCAACACAGATAAACGCTATAACACTGTCACACCATCTCTTTGTTTCCTTTACATGTTACTTATTAGCGCTTAAACAGCCTTGGTTTGTAAGCTGACTTTAAAGCAGAATGTCAAGAATACAAAAATATTCTGTAAAAACTTTTAAAGATTATGACTTTGTGTCAGTATGATGGATTGGCTGCTGTGAGTGAGAAATGAAAAGTAATAATGTGGTTGGAGTATGTGTTTATGTGTATGTTATGATGCCTCTTTTGTGACTCCAAGTTAATGTGCAAGAGAATGAAATGAGTCCTGTGGGGCAGACTGGCTTCTGTTCACAAACTGCATCCTGTCACAATCCAATTACTTTTCCATTTCCTCCGTGCCCTGTGGTCTTGTTGCTGTGCGTACTGTTCAAATATTGCCGGACAACTTATGCCTCAGTTTGCATGCATGCATGCATTAACACACAGATGCACAAACGCATTGAGGAAAAACTTCAGCCGGTAACTATACTGCCTCCATCCATGAGAAATTCATCCAGTCAGGGTATTTACACCACAATTTACAAGTGTGTTTTTTGAGTGTAGCTCAACACTATGAAAATCGGATAAGGGTGGAAAATATAAGAGCAAAATAGAAAACAGAAAGCAAAGGCAGACTTGTA